TAGCCATGTACTCTGCCTCTGTTGTAGACAAAGCAACTGTTGACTGCAAAGTAGACTTCCAACTAACTGGTGCCTTTGCAAAAGTAAACACATAACCAGTAGTTGATCTTCGTTTGTCCATATCACCCGCAAAATCTGAGTCACAATATCCAACTACAGACTGATTGTCTTCCTGCTCAAAAACTAACTCAACATCTATAGTATTATGAATATACCGTAGAATTCACTTCACAGCTTCAGGTCTCGTACATACCATTGCATACATCAAGCTACCAACAACATTTGCGTATGGTAACTTTGACATATACTCTCGTTCAACTTCATCTTTTGGCGATATAGTAGTACTTAGCTTAAAATGGGGAGCAAGTGGAGTACTAACTGGCTTAGTCTTTTCATCTATGTCAAAACGTTGTAGTACTCTTTTCAAATATTCTTTTTGAGATAAACATAGTTTCTTTGAACGTCTATCTCTTATTATCTCCATGCCAAGAATTTTCTTTGCCTCACCCAGATCCTTCATCTCNTTATCAGCTACAATTGAGGCGACACAAGCAACCGTCTCTATAAGACGAACGGGGTTTTGTTATTGTCCTTTTTGGCCTGCTATTTGTAATTGATTCAAGTTGTTGTTGAGGTTCCTGAGTTGGAATCTCCCTCTCTACTGACTCTTCTTCCAGAGGATAATCTTCATTTGTTTCCTCCTCTGCTTCTTGTGTAGGAAAAATAAATTTTCCCTCAAACTCCACCTGCTTAGAAGCACCTTCATTTTGTTTGGTATCTTCTGTTACCTTATTTACCATAGCAAATTCATCAAAGGTAACATCNAACCAATATTTTATTCCACTCCAGAAATACAAGTGAAATAATACTAAAGAGAGATGATACAAATGCCTTAAGAAGATAAGAAGGCAAATGAGAGGTGTGTTTAAATCCTAAACATTAGACCTCCTTTTATAGGGAAATATTTTCCCCCAAATGAAATCATCCACCGATGTGGGACAATTTCTTTTGTCAATCAAAAATCCCATCATTACAAACTGCTGAATGAACTGGCGGGGCACTGATGATGAGCTCGCCTTCAGGTAAGAGAAGACCACAAAAGATCATAAGTTGAGATGCAATGTTTTTTTTTGGGAGGGGTGGTTGGTGTTTCCAAAAGATGGTCAGTAGACAGTAGGTATCAATATAGGCTCGAAACAATATTTACCTCACCATCACCACTAAGAACATGCTGCCCAATAGTTCTTAAATCTGTGCATGAGGAAAATGGTGTGCCCTGTATTTCTAGTTCATCTTCAGTATCCCAGTCAATATTGTCACCGTCTTCTCCAGAAAGACTTCCCCCTGCACGGAATTGAACAAGAAATTCAAACAAAGTATAAATGCTTTTCCTCCCTTTATCAAAATATAAATAAAAGGGCGATAAACTTTTTTTTCTGATCTAGAAGGCCAGAAGGAAGTCGAAAAACTGCACTGTATTAGACAATTGAGAAATAAGATAAATTTACCATTTCTCCAGGTAACCCTGGAAAAGACCTCCAACTTGTTCAGCAAGGAGAATAATTCAGCAGCCTACATAACACGAGAAGGTAAACCTGAATTACTGCCAAAAGTTCCACAAGGCAATCATCAAAGCAAAAAGATATTCTATCAAATCTCACACAGAAAACTCAAAAACATAAGTTTCTTCATCTATTGACATTAAGACCAAACCCCATACCTTTAGCAAGAAAAGGAAAAAGCCAATATGGGCACAATAGCATAAATACAATTCTGTATATTCTTATTTAACTCTCATCTCTGCCGCCCCTGCTATACATTTTTCTTCCGAATATCTAAAGATGTTCCTCCTAGCTTGATAGAATAAAATATCTTTTTTAGAAGAACAAATTTGTTTCTCGCGCCACATTCATCTCATGATATGTAGTAAAAGAAAGAAGAGAGAAGTTATGTTTTTGTGTAGTACTCCCCCCATCCCAATTTATGCGGCACATTTTCCTTTTTAGTTAGTCCAAAAAAGAATGTCACATTTTTATATTTAAAAATAATTTAACTTAAAATTCCCCTGTTTACCATCAATGAGATGATTTATAACCGCATAAATGTAAGGCTTGTTTTAGACCACAAGTTTCAAAAGTTCTCATTTCTTTCTTAAGCTCCGTGCCTAGTCAAATAGTGGCACATAAATTGGGACGAAGGTAGTAATAGTTTAGCGCTTGTAATAGTGAAGCGAGAGCTCATCAAGATGCTGATCCAGAAATGGGAGCCTGATGTTTATTGTTTTCAAGAAACAAAAGTTGAAGAGTGGGAAGAGAGGCATTTTAGACAACTTTGGCCAAACAAGTAGCTTGGACATATAGAAATTGGCTCATGCGGACGTATTGGGGCAGTTTTACTTCTTAGGGATGAAAGTGATTGGGAATTATCGACCCAGTTGTTGGGGACCACACCACAGTCAATCAGCACTTTCCTCAAGTACACAGAATGATTTGAAATGGCTTATGCCTAGGGTATACATACCAAACAGAAGAACAAGGAGGAAAAATCTATGGCTTGAGCTTGCTGCTGTAAGAGGTCTTTGGAATTTTCCTTGGGTAATAGCTGGAGATTCTTATGTGGTTAGGTTCTTGATAATAGGTTAAATTTAGGTAATTTGGCGATTGTTTATGCTCCCACTTGATTATATTCCAATATCATAATATGGTTAATTGATGAAAAATAGGCTCTAATTGTGAATTGTATATATTGTAGGATAAGGAGCCTAGGTGATGCCTTAAACAGTTGTGATTGGAACCATTTTGGAGCAAGAAAGACCAATCAGAGCTGAGTACGCTTGAAGACGAGGAACAGAAGTGATGAAACACAGAACTGGACATGCGTGCCTAGGTGTGCGACTGCGCTACTTTTAGCGCGTCCATGACAGAATCTCAGCTAATTAGTGCGGCCAGATGCGCGTCCAGGTATGCGTTCGCGCTAGTCCAAAATCCGGGAAGAGTTATTTAGGGGAAGAATTGGAAATCTGGAGGAAAACTCACTTAACCTATATAAAGTCAAGCTCGCCCAAGGAAGAGGGAGGAGGTTTTTCATAGTCTAGTGCAAGAAATAGAGAGACAAGAGGCAAGGAGGAGATTTGACCATCAAGTTCTTCTTTTCTTCTCTTGGTTTTTGCTATTTGGGATGAAATTGAATCTATTTATGATGAACACTAGCATGAGTAGCTAAAACCCATTGTTCGAGGGTCATAGATGAAACATGAATGTTGTTGTTTAAAATTCAACATGACAAAGTTGGTTTATCATATTGGGTTGTTTATTTAATTCTGCTTTTAATTATTTTGCTGAGTAACTAACAGTGAAATACTATCTACGAATCTTTAGTTGAACTCGAAAGTGGGAACTTTAGATTGCATATAGAATTAAATAGGGCAAGTTCTTGAACCCGGGCCTCGGGGAACAAATTAGCAATTGGGATAGACATATACCCAATTGCCTTGCTTGGTTGAAATACAAGAAATGTAAATGCATTCTTGTTAATCTTAATTCCATAGACATATAGGCATTGAGTTAACTTGAATATGCGAGTAAGAACTCGACAGATTCTTATGAGTAACATTAACCCTGTTAATCAACAATCTAGGTAAATCGATTAGTCATTTTAAACTAAGAACATAATATGATTGTTAACTAGCCTGTGACCATGGAATATCCTCTCCTACTGTTTGTTACTCGAAATTGTTATTTGTTTGGTTAGTTGCTATAGTTAGATTATTGCTTGGTAGTTTAGGTAGTAAAACAATTACATCTCTATTTTGTGAAAAACCTCTTGGATAGACAAATTAATTGAGTTTGAATTATTCAACAGTTAATCATAAGTCTTTGTGGGAATGATACTCTACTCACTACTCTATTATTTGACGATTACGTGCACTTGCGTGAGTGTTTTTGGTCGCAACAAGTTTTTGGAGCCGTTGCCGGGGACTTAGAAATTAGCTACTTGACTGAGTTGAGCTTTTATTATTTATTTATTTATTCAAGTTTTAATTTTCAGTTCACTTTGTTTGTGCCAATATAAGTTTTTTTTCTTGAATGCGAAGAAGTAGAAGCACAAACAATCTCCTTCCTCTTGATCCCGAAATTGAACGAACACTTCACAGATTGAGGAGGGAGGTGACACTAGAACTAGAATTGAAAGAGAGTTGGACATCGTAGTTCAACCACTGCTAATTGAGATGGCAGGTAATGAGGAACGCACGGTGATCGAAGCCGTAAGGCCGAGTCTAGCTAGTATGACTCAGGCTATTGTGAAGCCTGATATCACTGGGCATTTTGAGCTAAAACAATACATGGTGCAGCTGATCCAATCCACAGAGCTATTTGTAGGCTTACCTCATGAAGACCCGCAGATGCACATTCAGAATTTCTTGGAAATTACAAACACTTACAATTATCCGAACGTTTCTAAGGACTATGTCAAGCTGACACTTTTCCCCTTTTCACTGATCGGGGAAGCTAAGGAGTGGATGAATAAGGAGCCAGTGAATTCAATTCGCAGTTGGGATGATCTGGCAAGGAAATTCTTAATCAAGTTTTTCCCCACTAAGAAAACAAAGATATTGAGGAGTCAAATTCTTGGGTTTGAACAACGAGCTGGCGAGACACTTCGTCAAACATGGGAAAGGTACAAGAAGATGCTCAGAGACTGTCCTCATCATTGCCAGACGGACGAGGTATTGGGTCACACATTTGTAGATGGGTTAGATGATGCTTCAAAGATGAATCTCGATTCAGCTTGTGGGGGTAGTTGCATGGCCAGACCGTACAGTGAAATCCAAATCTTGCTGAATAACTTCACTGCTAATGATAATAACTGGCAAGGTGAGGGTGATTCATGAAAGGTAGTTAAGCAAAAATTAGCTGGGTTACTTGAGCTCGACGACATGTCAGCCATGAGAGCCGATATTGCAAAACTGGCCAATCAGATGACTAGGATGACAATGTAGCAGCCACAAACATTGCAACATGTACAACAAATGACTATTTGCTGCAAACTCTGTGGCGATAGTCATATGAGTGATATGTGCCCCACAAATCTAGAATCCATCTATTATGTGGGGCAACAGAACAAAGATCCACCGAATCAGCATGCACAATACGAGAATTCTTATAATCCAAATTGGAGGAATCATCCCAACTTCTCATAGGGTGGAAATCAGCAGAATCAGAATCAGCATAGACCCCAAGGGAGTTTCAATCACCATCAGAGACCACCCCAACAAATGGAAGAAAGTACCATTGATTTGCTAAAGAAGTTGTTGATTGACAATCAACAACTCAAGACCGACTTCAGAAATCTTGAGAGGCAGATGGGGCAGTTAGCAACAAATCAAAACACTAGACCTGCAGGCGCTCTCCCCAGTGATACAGAAAAGAACCTTCAAGTGAATGCAGTTACACTTAGAAACGGGAGGGAGCTAGAGGAAGTGCCAAAGAAAAGAAAGACAAGCCCATACCTGAGGGAGAGTTGATCCCTAAAGTGACTCACGAGCCAAAGAATGCTGCTAAAATTCTAGAGCCAGTGGAGGCCCCAAGGCCACCACCACCTTTCCCCCAGAGATTGCAGAAAAAGAATGATGATCGCATGTTTACAAAATTTCTCTCTATGTTGAGCCAGGTTCAATTGAATATCCCACTTGTTGATGTGCTCGTGAAATTCCAAAGTATGCTAAGTACATAAAAGATATAGTGGCTCACAAGAGAAGATTAATTGAATTTGAGACAGTGGCACTTAGTGAGGAGTGCACTTCAATGGTCCAAAATAAGCTCCCTCAAAAGCTTAAGGATCCTGGCAGCTTCACGATTCCTGTACGCATTGGTAATATTGATGTGGGTCGTGCTCTATGCGATTTGGGGGCGAGCATAAATTGATTCCCCTATCTTTGTTCAAACAATTGGGCCTGGGAGCTCCAAGGCCCACTACTGTGATGTTGCAACTGGCTAATAGATCGATAGCACACCCTGAAGGGGTGATTGAAGATGTGTTGCTACAGATTGGGAAATTCATCTTCCCTGCTGATTTCATTATCCTCGATTATGAGGCTGATGAACTGGTTCCAATCATATTGGGGCGACCTCTCTTAGCTACTAGTGATGCAATTATCAAAGTGAGAGAGGGAAAAATGATTTTGAGGGTAGATGACGAGGAAACAGTTTTTAATGTCTACAAAGCAATCCAACTTCCCTGCCACTATGAGGAGTTCTCAATGATATCTGTTGTTGAGGCTGATGAGCAGATTCATTATCCGAGTGTATATCTAGACGATTCTCTAGAGAAAGCACTTATGTTGCTTGATAGCCTGGGGGACGACGAGGAGGTTGAGAAGATGATGCACATCCTAGATACATCTTGTGCGTACATGCAAGGGATACACCCCTTTGAGCGTTTGAATAGGCCAGAGGGACCTCCTCCAAAGCCATCAGTTGAGGAAGCCCCAAAATTGGAGCTTAAACCTCTTCCACCTCACCTGCAATATGCTTATTTGGGTGACTCTGACACTTTACCCATTATTGTTTCTTCTGACTTGTCTAAATTGCAGGAAGAAAAGCTGTTGAGAGTGCTACGTGAGCACAAGCGAGCACTTGGGTAGACGATGTCTGACATTAAGGGCATTAGCCCAGCCTTTTGCATGCACAAAATCCTCATGCAGGACGGACACAAGCCCAGTGTAGAGCAACAATGCCGACTCAATCCAATCATGAAAGAGGTGGTAAGAAAAGAAGTGATTAAGTGGCTTGATGCAGGTATTGTATTTCCTATCTCAAACAACAAATGGGTAAGCCCAGTTCAATGTGTACCCAAGAAAGGGGGAATAACTGTAGTAGTTAATGAGAATAATGATTTAATCCCTGCAAGAACTGTCACCGGATGGAGAATTTGCATTGATTATAGAAAATTGAACAATGCCACACGGAAGAACCACTTTCCCCTCCACTTTATTGACCAAATGCTTGATAAATTAGTTAGCCAGGAGTATTACTGCTTCTTAGATGGTTACTTGGGGTATAATCAGATTGCTATAGCCCTAGAGGACCAAGAGAAGACCATATTTACGTGTCCTTATGGCACGTATGCATTCAAGAGAATGCCCTTTGGTCTTTGTAATGCACCCGCGACTTTTCAAAGGTGTATGATGGCCATTTTTACTGACATGGTTGAGAGGTTTGTGGAAGTGTTCATGGATGATTTTTCTGTGTTTGGATGTTCTTTTGATAACTGCTTGATGAACCTTGATAAAGTACTTGCTAGGTGTGAAGAAACTAACTTGGTGCTAAACTGGGAAAAGTGCCATTTCATGGTACGTGAAGGTATAGTTTTGGGGCACAAGGTATCCAAAGATGGTTTTCAAGTGGACAAGGCAAAGGTGGAAGTGATTAAAAAATTGCCCCCACCGATATTTGTCAAAGGCATTCGCAGTTTCTTGGGCCATGCAGGTTTTTATCGTCGTTTCATTAAAGATTTCTCAAAAATTTCCTCTCCCTTGTGCAGGTTGCTTGAGAAGGATGTCGCCTTCAAATTTGATGCTGCCTGTCTGAAGGCATTTGAGGAGCTGAAGGGAAGGTTGGTAACTGCACCAATCATAATTGCTCCAGATTGGGAGCAACCATTTGAGTTGATGTGCAATGCGAGTGACTTGGCCATTGGAGCTGTTTTGGGGCAAAGAAAAAATAAAATATTGCACTCCATCTACTATGCGAGCAAAACTCTAAATCCAGCTCAGATGAACTACACAGTCACTGAAAAAGAGTTGTTTGCCGTGGTGTGTGCGTTTGACAAGTTCAGGTCATATCTAGTGGGGACCAAAGTGATCGTCTACATAGATCATTCAGCTATCAGATACTTATTTGAGAAGAAAGACGCCAAGCCGAGACTGATTCGGTGGGTCCTCCTCTTGCAAGAGTTTGACCTAGAGATCCGACATTGCAAAGGAGCAGAGAATCAAGTGGCTGATCACTTGTCCAGATTAGAAAATCGGAACCATGTAGCTGAAGGGGGTGCAATTAAAGAAACATTCCCTGATGAGCAGTTATTGGCAATCACCTCAAGCACAGCCCCGTGGTATGTAGATTATGTGAACTTTATTACAAGCGGGGTGACACTACCAGAATTGACACCCGATAATAGAAGAAGGTTCCTGCATGATGTGAGGCTTTACATGTGGGATGAGCCATTCTTATACAGGCTCTGCGCAGATCAGTTGGCGCGAAGATGTGTTCCTGAAGAGGAGATGAATGCCATACTTCATAGCTATCACGCCTCGCCATACGGAGGTCATCATGGTAGAGACAGGACCGCCCAAAAAGTGCTACAATCAGGTTTCTATTGGCCAAAATTGTTTAGGGATGCACACGCCTTTGTTAAAATGTGTGACAGGTTCCAAAGAACCGGAACAATCACAAAGAAGCACGAGATGCCGCTGCAAAACATTCTGGTAGTGGAGCTTTTTGATGTTTGGGGAATTGACTTCATGGGACCGTTTCCGTACTCCAATGGTCATAGGTACATCTTGGTGGCAGTCGATTATGTGTCTAAGTGGGTGGAGGACATTGCTCTTCCCACTAATGATGCAAAGGTGGTGGTAAGCTTTTTTAAGAAGCACATCTTCACACGCTTTGGAACTTCCAGAGTGTTGATCAGTGATGGAGGAATGCATTTCTGCAACAAACTGCTGAATAATGTTCTTGCAAAGTACGAAGTCAAGCACAAAGTTTCCACTACCTATCACCCCCAAACGAGCGGTCAAGTGGAATTGTCAAACAGAGAGGTAAAGCGGATTCTTAAGAAAACAGTGAGTGCAAATAGAAAAGACTGGGCAGGGAAGTTAGACGACGCATTGTGGGCATATCGAACTGCATACAAAACTCCCATAGGTACTTCTCCGTATAAGTTAGTTTATGAGAAGGCATGTCACTTGCCCGTCGAACTTGAACACAAGGCCTATTGGGCAATTAAAAAACTGAATATGGATGGGGACTTGGCTGGCGAGAAGAGGTTGCTGCAACTCAACGAGCTTGATGAGTTTCGTTTGCACGCATGTGAAAATGCCAAATTGTATAAAGAGAAGACTAAGAGGTGGCATGACAAGCACATCCAACATCGAAAGTTTGAGCCAGGGCAAGAAGTTCTTTTGTTCAATTCAAGGTTGAAGCTTTTCCCAGGAAAACTTAAATCTCGTTGGTCAGGCCCTTTTGTTGTGGTAAGTGTGAAGCCTCATGGAGCTATGGAGTTGCGAGATATGAGTTCAACTAGTACTTTCTTGGTGAATGGTCAAAGGATAAAACATTACTGGGGTGGTGACTTTGCATGTCAAAAGACCTCGGTGGACTTGACGGATGCTTGAGAACGTGTTGAGTCGTGCCGCGACGTTAAATCGGGCGCTAGATGGGAGGCAACCCATTGAATTGTTGTAACCGTCATGCCACGACGTTAAATAAGGAGCTGGTTGGGAGGCAACCCAACGATAGTAGTAGTGTTAATTTTGTGTTTTAGGAAGAGCTAACCAATGCAGGTGACAAAGGGCAGGTGCTAAGGCCATCGAACGGGGTAAGAACAGGTGAAAAGTTGAAGAAACAAATCGCCTAGGTGTGCGCCCGTGCTACTAGACGCGCTAAACTACAAATTTTCTGACTTGGCCGCGCACCTGATCACGCTGTTGAACGCGACCGCGCTACCGGACGCGTATCTGGGCACGCTAGTAGCTCTTGGGTTATGTATTGGACGCGCTAGTTCCGTAAAAAAAAATCCGGCGTTTTCAAGTGTATTTTCAGTTTTTCGTTTTTTTTATTTCGTTTATTCTTTAGACTCAATTACCCCTTTCCCCCATCTAATAAACGCCCCCCTGTACTTGAACCCCCCATTCAACAAAAGAAAAGCCCTCCCCCATTCCAACTCAAACACAAACAAAACCTTCCTCCAAACACTCCGAAATCCCAAAACCCACCCGTCCCCCAT